GAAATTTGGCACAGAAATCTCCATTACAAACCCCTGTCAGAACCTCAAATGAGTCAAACTTTACATAAACCTAGGAGCCCTAACCTTTTAAACTCTTGTTTTGTTTTTCGTTTTGTGTTCGGTTTGTTTTTTGAGTGGGAATACAAATACAAAGTTTGTTTTGGAGAAACCAAATTTACATACCATTATGGTAATGGTAATTCATCTGTGGTTTTTACATGTAGTTACCATGTTCCCATTAAGTTAAAAAAATTATGAATAATGTGCAATTTAAAACCTGAACCTCCATAAATTACCCAAAATTTTCAGTAAAACCTGAGAAACAAGTCAGTGCTTTACTATTTAGTCTGTGTTTATAGGTCAAATTGTGCTTTATTATTGGTAAATGGACTTTTTGGTGCAATAAATAGCTACACTAATATCACCATAATAATCAGGCCCTCCTCTATCTATACAACTTTTAGGCTATTAGGCCAAATCTAATTTTGTGTATATCCAATTGAAATCCAATCAGATTTAGTAAACGGCAAAAAATCACATGAAATAAGATTTTTGCTAATCTGTTTCGAGCTACATTCATAAGGTTCAGAGGTTTGAAATCCTATTCAAATCGCTTTTCTGGAAATCCGTTTCAGTCTGACTGCTCTGATCGGATTTTGCATGGTTTGTGATTTTTCTCACCTCACGTAAAACGTAAACGTAAGACGTTGTTATAGGAAACATGCTGAAAGTCGCTGCAGAAACAACAAGGTTGTGTTGTTACAAAGTGCCGGATGAGCAGAAAATGATGATATAGGAGACATGTTTGACCTACGGTTCTGTCGCTGCCTCAGAAGACGCAGTAGTCCAGCGCGGCGGCTACACACTGTCATGTTGTAAATAAGACAACATTTGTATTGCCAACCCCTCCATGTTGTGGTTGTTGTTGTTGTTTTTGGCGTATACCTACCAACGCAATGTCATTGCCATAGAAACCAAAGCAGATATTCCGGAAAACGAAAGGGCAGCATGGGACACACAAATTGGATCTGAACTGTTGCTTGCGAGACACAATGTGGCCAGTCAATAATTTCAGATCACATTCCAATCGGATACACAAATTATCTGATTTGGACTGACAGTGTGACTGTGAACATAGCCTTATACTAGTCTGGAGTCTTTGACCCTGTTTGGTCAAATAATTAATATCAAGAAATTGAAGTTCAAATTGAGTCCATTGCATTGTGGGATACTGTATTCCTCACAGCATGCATTGTTTCATACTTCACATTTTGACTAATGTCATAGTCCACTGGGTGTTGTATATGTATACTCTGCGTGGTATACATACTATACTGCAGAAATAGTACAAGTAGTATGCTATTCCAAACATAGCATCAGTTACAGAAGACTAGGGGTGAGGATTTGGCTGTAGTTATCCTAGTGCCTCTTGGTTTTCCGGCATTTCACCGAACTACATTCGCTGTAATTCAAGTATAAAAACTCTCTTCTCCTCTTCAGATAACTACATCTGGGTCTTTGTATGTAATCCCTTGGGATGGGGGGAAAAAACTGCCAACGTTAGAGTTGAAAGATTTTTCTAGAACATTTCTTTTTCTGTTAAACGGTGGGGTGGGAGGCACAACTGTAAATTACGGGAATGATGAATCCCATTTAGCCACAGAAGACTCACAATTTGCCCACCAGCGTATAAAGCCTTTTAATGGTTTAATTGCATCTCAAAGGAGAAGCGCACAGAGGCAGAGTCAAATTAGGGATTGTCCCATATTTTGGCTCTTGTGCTGCATGAGTGCCGTCTGTGTGTGGTTTTCTTTTTTTAAGTGAATATGGGATTTGCTCTAAAGCTTAAAATCATTAGACTAAGCTTCGCAACCTTGAAGGTTTCCATCGCTTCATTAAGGCTGGTGTAACTTAGTGGTTAAAGATTTGACCTGGTAACCAAAAGGTTGCAAGTAAGGTGCGATTCAAAAACCGAATCTGTAGCTCAACTGGTAGAGAAGAGCCGTGAGTCATTTTGAAAAAGTCAGATCACTCAGTGGCTATTTTTGCAAGGTTTCTGAGGAGCTATTTCCAGATCTACAAGTACAGCTCATATCTACTTTAATGGGAAAAGACAGAAGTGAAATATAACATATTTCAAATTTGCACTAAAATCTGACAACAATGGTATCATAAATTGTGATTATTTTGCTCAATTCACAGTTTTCACACGTAAAAAATATTTTATTTGAACAATGCTAATGCACATGACCACTCGTTTAAGACACTAAAGGTATTATGGTATTGAGTATTGATAATTATTAGACCGATGAGTAATTAGGATGATACTGAAATTTTATACTTTTTTTGTAAAAAAACAAACAAAAAAACAGAACGAGAAAGAAATAAAGCACTTAAAATCTATTTCTTTAAAATGCTACAAATTAACTTGGGCATCACTATTAACCTGATATTGATTTAGCTATTTAATTGCTAAAGCTTACATTTAAGATATGTAAAATATTACATTTTAAGCGACTACGTTTCTGTAAATGTTGCTAAATCACCATTGCATACTTGGGCCAGGCATTTAACTCCAGGAAACTCAATATAAAGATTGACTTGTAAGTGTACTTGAAGTTGCTTTGAATAAACGCATCACTTAAATGTCAAAGTAGCAAAGGTCAGTCATTATAAAAAAGAACCATTATTCTGCTCAGTATTTATTTCTTTAGGACTCTAAAGCATGTTTTCATTCACACAGCATGTGTAAATCTGTAAATCAACACACTTGTATTAATGTATTAAAGACCAGTTTAAAGTCCTCTCTTTGCTTAGCACACAGCTAACACTGTTCAGTGCCTGCTTAAACCGCATGGATGACGTTATGGTGTAGCAAGCAGGTCAGCAATGGCCTCTGTTGAAAGCGGGTATTGTGCGTACGTAACACCCGTGATCTCCCCGTCGCCGGACACTCCAGCAGGGGCTATCGACTCAAACTTTCCCAATCGGCCCCATTCCCCCAGCATTCCCTAAGGAAACTGTATCTCCAGTGGTCACGCAGAAATGTGAGGACTACTGTTAGCGGCGTCTGAAAAAGATTGACTGTTTGGGCACTAAGTGCTCGCTGTTGACACAAGCCTCTCTTTCATATGCAGTGGAGCACAGAGCGCTCGGGCTAAGTACACAGTTTGTGTTAAAGGTTGGTCCGCTCGTACCATGGGCTTCAAGAATTTCATCCGTCGAGCTCTCACCTGCAGAGTGGCACAGGATTTTTGAAACGGAAAAAACGCAAACACTCGAAAGGAGTCAAGAACGGGTTGGCAATTTTGAAAATGACATGATGAATTAACTGCTTGATTGTTCAGAAAAGATCAGAGCGTCAAATAAAACCCAACCAAGTCCAGCATGCTGATGGATGACTAGTGTCTGAATTTAGTTTTCTTGCATCTTTTTACTTGTAGGACCACAAGATCATACATGAAAACATAATTATTATCTTATTTATGTGTTTGTACTGATTTTCTTCTTCGTCTTTCTGCCCTAAAAGTGTATGAACGTCATAGACCTCAAATCGTAGAAACACCAAAATTGGCAGAATGGTTCTAATCTTGGCGCACAAACACACAACCGTCCGACACTAGGTGGCACTATAATAAGGTGATTTGCGTTTTGGGTCATAACTTTGGATTTTGGAACCCTAAAGGCCATTGCACACTGAGTCCGAAATTCGCATCCGAAATTTTCGCACGTTAAAAAATAAATACGACCTCACGTTATGTCAATCACGCTTGCACACTGCCTCCGAAACTTTTGTCCGTCATAAAAAAATCGAATCGTGTTCGATTTTCTGCGTTTTTCGCATCCGCACTTCCGCAGCAATCAGTTTGAATGGTGTTTGAATGATGTTTTGACAATTCAGAGCCACCGAATCTCGAATACGAAAAAACGCATACGAAAATTTCTGACTCAGTGTGCAATGGCCTTAAGGGCTAGAAGCTTTTTATTTTTTAATTATTATTTTCCTTAATCCTAGTCAAGCCCTACAATGTATAGCCCTACCTCTATATCTCCAATTTCTGTCTATAATTTATTTAGTATTTTCTAAAAACCCTGCTTTTTGCAAAGTTATTGGTAAATGAAATGACATTTGACATATTTTAACGAAACTTAATATACCGAGACCACAGGACGTTTTGTCTATAATTCAAGTTTTGCGAAACATTGTTTCGTATTGAGTCTGAGATTAATGACTTGTGGTTCAAGTGAGTCATTCACATTAATTCACCAAAGATTCAAATTCATTTGACTCATGTCTACATGGACTGGTAAAAAAAAGTATATATTGCTCATCGTCGACCCATTCTACCCAGAGAACACTTCATTCTACTGTCACGTAACAAAGTTGTCAAAATGACCAAAATATACATTTTTAGAGTTCATTTTCAATAGCCAGAATCTGAAACATTGGTAATAGCAGAGATTCTGTTTTTTTTTTTTTGGCGGTGGGGGGGTTCAGCATTACTAGAATTACAGCTGGAAGGGCTGCATTCATCAAAATTCAAGTGTGGCAGTTGCTTATTGGGAAAACCGCCAACATATCACCAAGTCTAGGAAAAATCTACCCTGAAAAGCGCAAAATGGTTCCAATAACATCTGCATTTTCCCTGCAGGTGTGGCCCCCACACTAGGGAAATAAGCTCACCTGCAAGCCGAATACATGTAATTCAAAAACCTTGGGTGATGTCGAGCTCCAGACATGAATGACACCTTCTAAATTATGAGTTTTGAATATCGCAATAAGCCCTGTGAGATTTTATTTGCTGCTTTTTATACAGTACACTTGAATTCACTCTTGATTACAAAATTTCCTGTTTAGAAAGCTGCATCTGCTTTTGGCCGTAATTCTGTTCTTGGCATTGAAACTGCTGTGATGCTCCGTCCTCTGGATGCCCAGCTGATGCTGCGACTCAAGCTTTCTGAATAATGCAATTGACCGCCGTAAATTGCTTTCGTTCCAGGCTTCATCGCAGCAGCTGAAGTTCACAACGTCAGACTCGTGCGACCGCATCAAGGACGAGTTCCAGTTCCTTCAAGCACAATACCACAGGTATGCGCACACACTTGCAACACCTTGAAGGAATAGTTCACTTAAATGCAAATAGTCGTCCTTTACTCGCATGTCGTTCAAAACATGTGTGACGTTCTTTCTTCTGTGGCAGTCATTTTATTTACTATTATAGTATTTTATTAATTCCTTTTAATTAGCTTATATTTTTATATTTTTAGTTTATTTTCATTTAAGTTTGAGTCAATTATTCTGGCTTTTATTTCAAACATTTATTTACTTTTATTTGAGAAAATTATTGAATTTAACGACTTTAACATTCGAACTGTATGGACCTGTTTTATGATGCGTTGCATTGATAAGGTGCTTTTGCATCCTTTTTGAAGCTTTAGATGCAAATACAATGACTCGTTCAGATATTAATTTAGTAACTGTTCTGACTGATTCTGTGAAGGAATCAGCAATTTGATTCAGACCCATAACTCATGAGTTGTCTTGTGCAATTCATCAAAAGAATTTGTTTATAAGAGTCATTTGTTGTTGAATCAGATTACAATAAATAAAAAAAACACCAGCACAGTATGATTCGGAAAGTAGTCAGATGTAGTCAACTGCTTTGATTGATTCACTGAGTTTGTTCTGTGAGGGAGTTCTGTGACCCATCATACCACTGATCAGCTCTACCAAACTTGGATGTCTTTTTCCAGTAATAAACAAACACTGTTAAGTTGTTTTGATTGATACTGTGAAGCAGCTTTGATACAATCTGTATTGTGAAAAGCGCTATATAAATATATTTGACTTGACTTGAATTGAATTGCCAGATTGATTCAGAACCATAACTCATAAGTTGTTTTATTCGTTAAAAGATCCGTTCAGAAGACTCATTTGTTCTTGAATCCGACTATAGTAGGAAAGTAATGACTTGTGATTCAGTGAGTGAGTCAGATGTCAATAGACCTTTATCAGTCTGACTCTGCGTGTTGTCATATCCTGCCCTGATTAGTAGCGTAATTGGATTGTCAATGGACGATCGCCAGTTTTGACAAGAAAATTACGCTACACTTAGTTGTAGATGTTTCAAATGGGTTTATTTAGCCTTACATGATACCCTACCATTTGTCTAATCTTCCATTTTAATGTGCAACGAGGCTATTGTCAGCGCTGCCGGTGTTGACCACGGCAAACGCTGTGAGTGTGTGTGTTAGAAATCAGGAATGCTGAGAGAATATTGTGCATGGTACGTTTTTCATCTTCAAATCAAACTTGGGTCTTTAGCGGAAAAAGTTTAAATCCCGTCTGGCTAGAGCGCTTCCTGTAATGTTTATGCATTAGGTCAGTAGGCGGAGAGTAGACGATCTTTAGTGGCTGTTCGAACACATTCGACGACATGAGCGTTTACACTACGAAAACAATCCGGTCGAATGTGTTTTCGACTACCTCTGGAAGTGGTCGAAAGTGGATAAACTCAAAGCATTTTAGACCCAGTTTACACCTGTATTTAGCGTCGTCCACTTGTGATCTGATTGAGCAAAATGCATCCAGGTGTAATACACAGGGCCATAGATGAAGTATCTATGATGAACTGTCCATCAATAAGTCACAACAGTCCTGTGCTATGGGCACTTCCATTGATACAGGCTACAGCTGACATAATTTTACGCTACTATTTTAAGCTCTTGCTTTTCTAATTTGGAAGTGTAATGAAGGCCTATTTAGTAACTCCTCTGATTGATTCAGAAGCAGAACTGAGCAACCAGAACCTTACGAGTCAAACAGTAATGACATAATGAAAGTAATGACTCGTGTGTGAATGAGTCAGATGTTAATTCAGTTTGCTGCTTTGATTGATTCGGTGAGTTAATTCTGTGAAGGAATCACCAATTCCTTAAAGAACCAGTTCATAAGAATAATTTGTTCTTGAATCAGACTACTCTAGAAAAGAGCAACCAGCACATTATCAAAAGTTTCACAAAAGAAAGCAAGCCAATTGGGTTCAAAACAACATTTCTTTTAACCGTTTCTTTAGGGCGGTCCTCTACAAGGCAGTGTGACTAAATTCACTATTAGCCGGCATATTTTTTTCTCACTTCTAACAAGCTTCCCCTAGTGCCTCATTCCCATGCCGATTAACACGGAGCGGCTACTATGATCTGATCCGTCTGATGCCTTGACTCCTGTAAATGGAGACGGAAGACTCTTTAAAGACACAAAGACGCTGCTACTGTCCCGTCTTTAAGGCAACATGTCTTTCCCTCCCTATTCCCATGACAACGAGCAAACCCTCATTTAACCCTGGTTCACAGAAGAATAGGCCCTACGTTTTTGTATGTGTATTCAGAGCATGCATTCACCGCCATTGACTTCAATTGAGATTCAACAGACAAGGGCTTTTTTGGTGCTACGTTCAGCCTTTTAAAGGAAATGTACTGCAGGCGGTCCCCAGAGCCTCGCCGAGCTGTCGCTCCCTTCTACAAATGCATAAATAGATCAGGGAATACATAAATCAAAATAAGGATGACAGCAGGAGCGATTTGGAGGCGGAAAGAAACGGCAATAAAACTCCATCAATGTGTCGTTTTTTGGCGTCTTTTTTTTTTCTCTGAGAGCATCTTTGGAACCTTCAGGAGGTCTCGGCCAATCAGTGGCTGGCATGGCCAATCACAGGTAGCCTGGCAGCAGGGAGGATGGTCACCATGACAACCCCCAATATATGTTACACAGTCATAACAGCCCAGTTTTTTTACCCCTTTTTTTGGGATAAGTGGAAGCAGCAGACTGGAGAGGTATGAAAAGACAGAATGCTTGTCATACGCCAACGAAACAAAAACCTCTAGTATGCCGTGTCACTTTATTTGTATATAGATCAGATGCTTTCTCTTGGCTTTCTTTGTTCAGATGCTTTCCCAATTCCGCTTTTTTTTTTCCATATGGAATTACTAGTTGATTATTCACTTTGTTTTTTTGGGGGAAGAAATGAAATAATGTGTCTTGAAAGGAGTCACGGCCTAGTGGTTTGCGCACATGCTGACATCACATCGAGCCATGGTGCATGGTGGGAAATTCTTCTGGTTCGATTCCAGTTTGCGTGGTGTGATAAACCAGTTCCTGCCATTTTCTCCTCAATAATGCCACAACTAAATGATAAAAATGTAAATCAGTAATAAAAATGTATCAAATATTTTTGAACAAAATGTCAATTTTTGCATCCAATAAATCAATTTAACTCAAAATATCATAGTATCGTGCTACAGTGCACATGCTGTCAGTTGCAGTTCTGGCGCCTCAAGATGGTGTTTTAAAGCCTTGCCAGTTAAACATTTTATTCGCATTCTGTTCTGTGCGCACACTAAAAGCCTATCACACAGCTCGTGAGTACTAAACCAAGTTCTCTTTCACGTCGTATTGCGCTTAAACTGTCAAATGCACACCAGATTTACATAAAGGCAGTCAGTTATGTCTTAAGTGACCATAAACAATTTGGAGAAAATCAGATGCGTATCTGTATAATAGATCTGTGCATTCGGTCTTAAAATGACAGCAGCTACCATTTGTCATTAATGTTAGCCTAATTAAAAAAAGGCAAAAAGAAAATCACTTACTGCTCTTCACTCAATAACTTCTGTAGCTTTAATAAGAATCAATGTATAATTTATACAGTAAACTCTATGTAGTGTTTTATTTTAACATTTGTTTATTCAATTTCTTACTTGAATGCTACTGTTAAATACTGAATCTGATTGGCTAGTTTTCTGACAGATGTGACATTTAATGAGTGGTTTTCCTAAAGTATATTGCTGCCTTAGAGCGTTTTTAGCTGAATATTAGCACTAAATTTCTCTCCCCATCTACCGACTCTGCCAAAAGAATGTGAAAAAGTCCGAAAAGTCTCTGAAGCAGTCTGAACTCTTCAACTGATCTGTTGCATAATATATGTCTAGTCGGTGTCTGTTCTTTTTTTATTGACCAGTCTTTTTTTTCCTCTTTTCAGTCTGAAGCTCGAATGTGACAAGCTGGCCAGTGAGAAGTCAGAAATGCAACGTCATTATATCATGGTAAGTCTGCACAGAACGCACTCTCCTCCAGAGGGATGCGCCTTAGGCTAGATGTCCCGGAACATATTCACATCCACAAGAAACTCACCTAGCCCTCACCTGTCTGATTTCATTGTGTCTTATTCTCTGTCTGCCTCAACACGGTCTTTTCTGCTGCTCTATTAACATTCTCTACCTCCTGTCCACCCAGAGGCGTCATGCACCTCTCTTTTGAGGGGACGCCAGTGGCATACCTGACCTACTTGGTATCATAGATGAGATTAGACTTGACTAAAGGAATTATATTATATTATATTATATTATATTATATTATATATTATATTATATTATATTATATTATATTATATTGTTTATTTATTGACAACTTGGCAGTTCATTATATTATATTATTAATTTTCAGCTTGATTGTTCTTATATTCTTATAAGATTGTTATATTATATATTTACTTTTCTTTTGTTATTTACAAACAACAGTGTGTGTGTGTATATATATATATATATTCACGATTCTTAATATAATAGAAGAAAAGCCACATTATATAACAGTTTTATATATTATGCATGTATGCATTTACTTATTTACAAACAACTTAGCTGTTCTTATATATAATATTATATATGTATTTATTAACAAACAACTCAACTATTATATTATAGGTTTTTTCAGCTTAGTGGTTCTTATATGTGGTATAAATATGTGTGTTTATATAATATGTTTTAAAATATTTTTTCAGCTTGGTTTTTATATTATTAATCTATTATGTTATATTAGGTACAACTTGGCGGTTATCACACACACACACACACATATATACATATATATATATATATAAAAATTCTCATTCTTATATTTATATTAACTTGTTTTGAATATTATATATTTATTTGTTTATATATTATACAAGTATATTTATTATGTTTATTTATTAACAAACAACTTAATGATTCTTTTATATTATTTATTTTATATTTTTATTTAATTATTCAATTATCCTTCAATTTATATTTCAATAAATATTTTACTTTCACTAATTGTGCAACTTAATTTTCTAGAATGCAAGTAAAAAAAAATGAAGAAGTTGCATTAGAAATCCACTTGGCTCAAAAATCTTTCATGTTGAATCTGGCCGTGATCTTCAGGCATCATGTATGCTTTGTCTTCCTCTCCTCTCTAGTCTTCCACCCCCAATCCCCTCCTTTTTACCTTGTCTGCTATTCCTTCTTTTGTCCATACTCTGCACTCTCTTTTCTCATCCATCCCCCCCGATGATATTCCCTCCCTCCCCTCCACTCTAACCTCGTTGTCTCCGGCCCGGGCCTCGTGTTGCTGTCTGATATTCCGCCTCTAATTGATCCGTCGAGCGGCTTAATCTCATTTAATCTGTGCGGCGTTGCTCTCACGCGCATCAGCCAGAGCGCCCTCCCTCCCTCTAATAGCCTATCGGGTTCCCCCGCTCTGTCCGCACCCGCTGGAAGATGGGGAGGGTGGGCGTCCGCTTTGCGTGGGTGGTAATTGCTTTAGGGACCTACTGCTGCTTGGCACAGCCGACCCTGATCCAACTCTGGCTCCATCACTGATGCTCCCCAGTCTTGTTTAGCTGCAGAGGTTGTGTTACGCTGCTCGTTGACGTGTGGATGATGAGCGAGGCTAACACTTTCGCATGTAGTACGCGCTAGTATGCCCGCACATGTTACACTGGGGTTCTAGATGTTCAGTGCTGTAATACTAAAAAAGTTCATGTCTGACTTTTATTTCTTTGCAGTACTATGAGATGTCCTATGGGCTGAATATCGAAATGCACAAGCAGGTGAGTTCGTCGCTTCTACGTCTAATCTGATGAAATTACGCCCATCCAGTTTACACTCTAAGATGTTCATCTTCATCACTGTTGCTCAACGTTATTGAATGCTGATGCTTTAGTTTGAGACTGTCTAAACACAGAAGTGTCAGGAGGGGGCCAAATTATGCATTAAAGGGTTAGTTCACCCAATTACTAACCCTCATGTTGTTCCAAACCCGTAAGACTTTTATTCATCTTCAAAACACAATTTCTTTAAAATGAAATTTGAGTGATTTCTGTCCCTCCATTGACAGTCTTCGCAACTACCACTTTAACGCTTCGAAAAGATCATAAAGAGATTATTAGATCCATATTAGAATTAATCCATATGAATCAAGCGGTTTAGTTTAAAATTTCTGAAGAGACTAGATCGCTTTCTATGATGAACAGATCGAATTTACTTTTTTGTTCAATGGATTGAAATCTGAGAGATTTCTGTCCCTCCATTGACATTTAAAATTTTGATTGATAAACAAAAGCTTACGGGTTTGGAACGACATGAGGGTGACAGAATGATGACAGAATTTTCATTTTTGGCTGAACTATCCCTTTAACAATTTATGACAACTGGTTTATTCATGGCATACTATTTGACTACAGTTTATAGGCTGTGATAGCTGGGAGATTTTTAAATGAATATGGGACACAAAAACACTGAAATAGTCCATAAAAATGAATTTTTACCTGTTTTTTTGTTGTTTTTGGCTTGCCTTTCTAACATTTTAATGGCTCTATCACAAAAAAAGTTATAAAAATACCTTTATTTTATTCATTTTTATTTGTGGCAAAATATTTTGTGTACACTGCATTTCTGCGTCAATTTTTAAAAAGAAATGAATTCTTTAATTCAGGAGGGATGCATTGATTTGATCGAAAAATACTTTTGCATTGTAACAAAAGATTTCTATTTTGAACTTTGTTCATCAAACAGAAAATCCGGAAATAATTTCCACAAAAATATTTAACAGCACAACTGTTTTCAACATTGATAATGATAAGAAATGTGTTCTAAACAGAAAATCAGCATATTAGACTGATTTCTGAAGGATCATGTGACACTGAAGACTGGAGTAATGATGCTGAAAATTCAGCTTTGGCATCACCGATATAGAAATGAGTATTTGAATCGTGCAGTGACTGAAATTGTTTTTTTCCCCCCCTCAAAATGAGAAATGCTCCAATAAGTGTTGATTTACAGAACAGTTAGTGGTTAGTTGGGCGTCGAAATCTAAACACGTGCCATTGCGCCGCTGCAGCCAGTCTCGAGAACACAATTCATCAGTCCCTGACCCTTTATGTGACACAGGTGAAATATGTTTTTAAAAAGTCAGCCAGCCACGGAAGAGTGTGTGCGAAAGAGAAATACAGGGCATGAATGCAAAGAATAAGGCATGCCGGTGTTTGGTATGCAGTCATTTCACTTTCTCTCTCTCTCTCTCTCTCTCTCTCTCTCTCTCTCTCTCTCTCTCTCTCTCTCTCTCTCTCTCTCTCTCTCTCTCTCTCTCTCTCTCTCTCTCTCTCTCTCTCTCTCTCTCTCTCTCTCTCTCTCTCTCTCTCTCTCTCTCTCTCTCTCTCTCTCTCTCTCTTGCATGCTGTAAGAAGTGTCAGTATGGCAGGCTATTGAAACAGGGTTATTGTTGCCTCTCTCTTTGTCCCACTGCGTGTTTTTTTTTTTTTTTTTTTTTTTTTTTTTTTTTTTTGCACACAAATTCTCAAGCTCTTGCAGGCTTTTCAGTGCTCAGAAAAATCACGTTTCCTAACATGAGCTTTCTCTATCTTCATCTATATATCAATCTCTTTTTTTAGTAGTTTTATTACCTAAATACGTGTGTGTATATAGTATACATGTATATATATGTGTGTGTGTGTGTATGTATATATATATATATATAGCTAAAAATAAGATATTCAAAAACAAATTATTTCTTACATTTTCTTATGAGCCATCAAGTGTTATCAAGGCAAGCCATATATATATATATGTTATAATAATTAATTATTTATTCTGTATTTTTATTTTTGCTGTCAATTACGTAGTCAGGAATATGTTTGTTTATATTTTTGGAGCTGAATAACTGGACCATTTGTGACAAAAGGGAAAGAATTTGCTGAGTGTGTGTGTTTCTCCCTCCCTGCAGGCAGAGATCGTGAAGAGATTAAATGGGATCTGTGCTCAAGTCTTGCCTTACCTGTCTCAAGAGGTACAGAGAGATAGCAGCGCTACCTCATCATTTAGTTTATAGCATTACACTTCCGTCTGAAACGCTCACAGTTAGTCTGATTTGATTTTAATGTGAATGTGGGATCTTAAGGAGCATATAGCATGAGATGTGATTGTGATTCAGATTTTTTTTTTTCAGCACCAGCAGCAGGTTCTGGGGGCGATAGAGAGAGCCAAACAGGTCACCCCACCAGAGATGAACTCCATCATACGGGTAAAGTGCGTGTGCGTGTGCGTGGGGGACTCATGTGGATGACACACAGGTTTATACACAAGGCTGTTTATGGAAATGCATCTGAATGAGTTTATGGAAGTCTTATTATGTATAAAGAAAGGCATTATTAATTAGTTTTGTGCATTGTAGCTATGCATTTATATGGCTCTCTGATATCTTAACTCTTAGAGTAGAAACAATTTTCACTCAGAAATTGCTAGTAAGTTTCACGAATAATTACAAAGAAACGGCAAGCAACACATTGGGTTAAACACATAAAAATTTAAGTAGAAAGACTGAATAGAATAGTATTGTCTTGTAAAATGTACACCAATAATACAGTGCATGACAAAAACAACATTCATTAAGCGTTTGCAGCTTTTGCTTTGTACAGTAATAACGCAAAATAATCCAATGCAAAAATAAAGAAAAATAACCACAGTGCTAATGGAGTAAACAAGCAATATTATAAATAATATGAGAGGCCATACAGTGTAATTATTTTTTACCTCAATTAAGAGTATTAAATAAAACATAAAAGACCATATTTTTATCAAATTATACAGTGATCTTAAAATACCAGTGTTCAATAATTCATTACTGATTACATTTATTAATAAATAATAATCACAGTAAACAGTTATTGCACCAAGTACCATAGGTCAAACCGTCAAATAGATAAATGGATACTATCATTTACTGTCTTATTCTCACCAAGTTTGCATTTATTTAGGGGAAAAACAGTAATATAGTGGAATATTATTACAATTTAAAATAAGCTATTTTAAAATAAAATGTTTGCAAAGCTAAATTTTCAGCAGCCATTAGAATAAAACAGCATTTTTTTGGAAATAGAAGTCTTCTTTTGACATTATACATATATCTGTACTGTCACTTTTGATCAATTTAATGCATCCTTGCTGGATAAAACTTTTAATCTAACTGACCCCAAATTTTAGAATGTTAGTGTATATAGATTTGATTCATTAATTTAGAATTGGCAGGTTCATCCAATCAAACTTTTGAGTTGAAACTGTATTTCAAAGTCAGTCAAAGATTTATTTAGCCATTTCAACAATACAGTTGATAGGAATGTGTCTTGACAACAATACACTGGCACAACAACACATGCCACACATATACCACACATATACATCACAAATACCCCCCAATGACATCAAATACACTGACAACACTAGCTCCAACTATACAATTTCATAATAATGTTGTGCAAAAAGTAAACTAAGAAAGTGTAACAAAAAGTAAGAAATTCCAGAAGTGACAACCGTGTATGTGTGTGATGTGTAGCAGCAGCTCCAGGCTCACCAGCTCTCTCAGCTGCAGGGGCTGGCACTGCCCATGACCCCTCTCCCTCTGGGTCTCAGCCAACCGGCCGGCCTCCCCGCCGTCACCTCCAGCTCCGGCCTCTTCTCCCTCTCCAGCATCCTGGCCTCTCAGGCCCAGCTGGCCAAGGAGGACAAGAGCACACGCGAGACCTCCGACAGCCACCGCGAGGAAGACGGAGACAAGTCCGACTAGTTGCCCCGCCGCCAAACCCGTTCCTTCGTCCAGTCATCATCCAGAGCTCAACGTAGAGCAGAGCCACTTGTTTCCCTTTTTCTTATCCTTAATTTTCCACTCTTTTTCCATCTTTCTATCTTCCCTCTAAATTCCTACTGTGTTCACATGCCTAACGTCATTCGTTCTGGTTCATTCCCGCAGCTTTCTATATGTATTTATACCAATCCACCTTTTTATTGTGTTACTGATGCTTGATTTGATTTTCTTTACACTATGTCTTGCCTGCGTGTATATATATATCTATATATATATATAATTGTATATTTCTTATGCTAGTTGTGGAAATGGTCTACAAAATGGTGCAACCGTTAATGGACCATCGACCCTTCGGTAATAATTCCTTTTTTTGTTTTTTTCCCCCCGCTCACTCTCTTCCTCTTAAAATCTTTCACCTTTTAAAGCTACAATCTACAATAACTGAGTCAAAAGCACTTTGGCCCTAGGCAGTAACTCTGAGACTAAAAGCAACTTTGCATCTAAAAACTTAGCCGCAGCATAATCCATTTAGAGTTTAAAGGATCGGTGTTATTTCTCGAAGGCACGGCTGTTGCATCTATCCTACCTTAAAGGGATAGTTCAAGTAAAAATGAGGTTTTATTTTTATGTTGTTCCAAAATTATTTTACCTACAGTCTTCTGTGGAATACAAAAGGAGACGTTTTGAAGAATGTTCACACTGCTCCTTTCCATACAATGAATGGGGAGAGACAAAAAATCCTAGTCCATGTGACTTGTGTACTAAATTTGAATTGTTCTGAAGCCATTTGTGTGTAAAACTAAAATTTAAGATGTTATTCACTGGAAATGTTGCTTGATAGCGTCACCATTTATTGTTTTATTTTATTTTTTGTATGGAAAAGAGTGTGTATTCCACAGAAAACATACGTTTATTTTGTACTTAATAAAAGAATGTCATACAGATGACATGAGAGCGAGTAAATGATGATCAAATCTTGTTTCAAACCTGTTTGACTTTTCTTCTGTGGAACACAAAATGAAGACGTTTTAAAGAATGGTCATGCTGCTCCTTGAGAGTGAATAGGGACCAAAAAATAAACTAGGCCACATGACTCCTGTATTCCATTCCAAGTGTTTTGAAGCAATTTGTTTGAGAAATGTAAGAAATTTGAGGTGTTATTCACTGGAAATTTAGCTTGATAGCTGTGGTCACCATTCACTTTCATTAAATGGGAAAGCTCTAAACATCTCCTTTTGTGTTCCACTGAAGAAAGTAACGACATGAGGGTGTATAAATGATGATTGAATCTCCCTGTTGTTTCAAACCTGTTTGACTGACTATTCTTCTGTGAAAGACAAAAAGTGATGTTTTGAGGAATGTCAAAGCTGCTCCTTTCCATGCAATGAGAGTCATTGGGGACCAAAGCTGTCAAGCTTCAAAATGGAAAAAGCATCATAAAACTAGTCCATATGACTCCTGTATTATATTCTGAAGCCATTTATCTGAAAAAAAAAAACGTTGATTGTTGTGGTCACCATTCGCTTTCATTGTGTGGACAAGAGCAGCTTGAACATTGCTCAAAACATCTCCTTTTGTGTTCCACTGAAGAATGAATGTCATACAGGTTTGGAACAACATGAGGGTGAGTAAATTACATTTTTGGGTGAACTGTCCTTTCAAACTGCTTGACGAAACGTGATGAATAGTTTTGAAATGAAGAAAGAACATTTCTACAAGGCCCTTCAACGTACTGTATATCTATATACCTGTTTGCCTGATTTCTAATGTGTTTGGAAGCTGTGTTGTGCTGTCTTAGACAGAGAATATTAGATGAATCCTCTGAGAAGCT